AGGACCAGCGCCTGTTGATTATTCATAAGTAGATTTTTTACACGTTTATGGGAAATTTGAAGGTGCGTAGATGATATGCAAAAATGTGTAAAATATTCAAAGCGGTGTATTTACAGTGTAACATTCGGTACGCGAAACGAATTTCTATTTGGACTCCGTTTTCTTTAGGGGCGCTTGTTAATGGAAGCACGAACCATTAAATGCGAAAGCGGTGTAAATCGGCAGAGATGGGACGAAACGAAAATTTTTTCGCAAAATGCAACAGCGTCGGGGATGGCTGCGTCTCTTTTACGCGAGCCATTCTAGATCATACGATCACGATCACGAAATGTGATCTCGAAATGCCTTGTTCCGCTAAATAGGTGAAACATTGACTTACGCCGCTTTATCGTACATCGAACGATTCGTATCTCGCGCGGATTGAGCAGGCGTGAAAGTGAAATTGTTGCTTGCCTACGGGTCATCCACTCGAGCATTCGTCCGCGTGTCATACGCACGAAGTCGTACATTTCATATCTCGTTCCGGGACGCAGGCGAGAGCTATCAAAAGGGGATGGTGATGTTCAAGTTCCTAGCTTACTACGCGATACCGCTTCTCGTGATCACTGGATTCTATCTGGGAATGGCACGACACCTCGAGCTCTCCACCAGGAATATGCCCGGCGAGTTGTCCACCGGCTGTCATCGCATGGAGCAAATCAGAGCACGGAAAAAGGTATGACTGACGAATCGATGTTTCTTTTTTCTTTTTTTTTTTTTTTTTTCTGTGAAACTGCAAGCTCTCTGCCTAGAAATCAATTGCTGAACACAATTTATCGAGCGAGGAAGTTTAAACTTTTTCCTTTTTTCTTCTTCTTCTTCTTCATTTTCCAATAAAATTTCAAACGATTGAAATTAAATTTGTAAACGTATTGGACGTATTGCACACAGAGTGATAGAAGTGATGAAAGTTTAAAATTGCAATAAGGTTTGGATGCTACTCTTTCGCGAAGTAACAAAATTTCCTGTGAAATTTTAGTTTTTGCTCGATCGGAAAAAAGTATAGAATTACAATTGGAAATTTCCTTACGTCTGCTACTCTTATAGAGTGACGTAGTTTCGTGTGAAAAAACTTTGGATTGAAAAGCTATACAGTGGTGGACTAGAAATAGTTCATTTTACCAATTATCTTTCGTCAGAGACACGTCTTTTCTAACACTTCTGCCAAATTAATTAAATGTCGGAATCAATTTTGACAAAAGCGAACAACTTATTTTATCCCAGAATTATCAGAGTACAGATCAGAGTATAAAGAAAGTAAGATTGAAAAGTAATAAACTCCAATTTCGTCTCGAAATGACCAATGCCAATTGCGCATCCAAGTAACAAGACGAAGAAAAAAATGGAGTCGATCAACGGATCTTCCGAGAGGCTCAATTGCGAACAATTTAGCGTGAGAGACAAGTCGTTGGTAGAATTGTAACAAACTGCTCTCCACTTACGTAATATTCGATAAATAAACTCGCGCTATATGTTAACGCTAAAATGATAGAGACGATGAAGCATCGATGAAACAAGACAAGTCCGATAAATCGAAGAACGCGTGGTATAATTTCTAGGAGATAAAGAGAGAGAGAGAGAGAGAGAGAGAGCTAATTATAGATCATTATGCATCGAGACATTTTCAAGCAATATCGCAAGACAATCTATTATTATCACTTTCCGCATTGCATCCGAGTGAATATGATCGATTCTCTGGAATCACATCGATTCATCGAATATCAGAAGATTACTTTCTGTTCAAGCAACCCTTCAATTTCCTTGTATTCCCTTCGCGCAATCCATTATCCTCGCTTTACTTTTTAGCCAAGTATTTCGATGGAACTTTCATTTCGGCGAAAATGTTACTTTGAAGAAAATATCCCAACGATTTGCTTAACTTTCATCTGTCTTGATTAACGAGCTGAGCGAATTCCGGGGATAAATGACACGACAAAAGAAATTATTAGCAGCTAAAATATTGCGTTATCGTGCAACGTTGGCTGTTGATTTAAAAGTTGAGGTATTTAATCCAACGGTCCGCGCACGAAAGTTTCAGCATTACTTTTTTGTTATTCAATGTGGATTTAATCGCTTATAACAGCATTCGTTGCAGATAGTAAAATGTTTAAATGACACGCGTACGTTTCACAACACAAATTTTATCGTGACAATGCTCTTCAGATTTTATCTGAAATTCTCTTTACCCTAATAAATATTTTTAATTGATCAAAGATTCTATAAGCACTGTATATGTGGATCGAAAGAAAACTGCATGTGAAAATTAATGCTACGACACAACTTCTGACGAGTTAATCCAACGTGCAACGTCTCTGTATGAAAATAGAGAGTGTCATCCTGTCTGGACAGTGCTATCTTATCAGTGCTAGCAGTTTAAAAGCGACTTCTCAAATAATTCCGATATTCCGATTCACTTGGAATCAGCCGGCAGAAGGTGGCATCGAAGCGTGTCAGTCGAAGATACGGCGAAACCGTGGTTCTTAACCTCTTCAACATTTTCTCGCTCGCTTTTCCCCGAATGCATCCAACCGTTGCCTTATCTGCATTCCGATAGAAACCTGCGTTCCACGACGACGACAATGACAAACGATCGATATGTTTCGCGGGACAATCCGGACAAATAATATCATCGATTAACTTGTAAGTACAGCGGTCAGAGATAACAGGAGTTATCTGTTGGCAATCCGCTCGAAACCGAAATGATCCGGTATGTCGCGTTATCACCGCGTTTGTTTTCCATAAATGACAAGGAGAACGTGAAGTAAAACGCTTCTGGCGATTTCTATACATCTTCCCGACAAGAAGGACTTCTATGAAAGAAATTGGAGTGGATTTATCCGACGTGATATCTCAAAAGTTGTGGAGCATTACATATTATCTAGCGACACACTGGTTGCCTAGCGAAGATGTTGCAACATTGAAATCTCGTTACAAATGTTTTCGAACAGACGAGAGGCGGAGAGCAAGTTCAGTTGAAGTAAGAAAATAAAGGAAAATAAAGGGACGAATGAGACGAAGGTGGGCGCAGGGGAGGAAGGTATTAAAAAAGAAAGAAAAATATCAATGTCAACGATAACTAGGGGGGAAAGACAAATAAGATGAAAGAAGCAACAGAAGAGGAGAAACTCAAACGAGGGACAGAAATGGAAAAGTTCAGAAAAAAAAAAAAAAAAAGAAAGAAAGCGCGAGAAAGAAACGAAGAAACTTCTACCGCTTACAGAAAGAAATATTTAAACGTCTAATCTGCATTTAGTCGATTCGAGGAAAATTTCTCAAACACCTAATACTACTGATTCAAGGGAAAAAATGTTCAAAAGTTTAATCTACATTCGATTAACCTAGTTTACTTTTTATCGAGAAAGACATTCAAATTTCTTTAGAAAGATATTTAAATTTTAATTAATCAGATCAGACACGGCTGGTTAAATACCTCAATTTAACAGGCCTCTTTCGCTCGTTGTTGTCATCAACAGGTCGGGAAGATGGTGATCTCCTTCGTAGTTATCTTCTTCATTTGCTTCCTGCCGTACCACGTGTTCATGCTGTGGTTCCACTTCTCTCCGTCGTCTCAGCAAGACTTCGACGACTTCTGGCACGCCTTCAGGATCGTTGGCTTCTGTTTGAGCTTCGTCAACAGCTGCGTTAATCCCATTGCCCTTTACTTTGTCAGCGGGACATTTCGTAAGAGGCGAGTATAACAAGACGAATCGAACGTCAACAATACTTAACAAGGCCAACCACTGTCCGTAAAAAGCAACAACATACATATTTTTCATAGTTTCGTTCCTCGGATCTACACGTTTCATCTTCTTCACGATCTTTGAGTCTTTAACACCGCCATTCTAGCGCACCTGCCGAAAGAAAAGAAAAAAAATTAATTACACACGCGATCTCGTTACTCGACCGATTAAACGAACAACAATTACAAAACCGCAAAATATAGAGGCAAACGACTATGGCCGAAAACAAATACGTAACGAGAAACGTAACCGAACAAAATACACACCACAATACACACACAAGGCTCGTAATATTTGAATGTGAACTTTTGCAAATGTACAATATATATGCGTCGATCGAGATCGATGAAGACAGGTTTTTCTTATAGATTCAACAGATACCTTTGTTGGTGCGTGTCAAGGAGGAGCCGCGGTGTTTGTCGAACCGAGACGATGAATAGTTCGGACAGGAACGGCAACCGAGGGGTGAGTTTCTCGCGAAGGCGGCGTTGCGGTGGCCGCGACACCGTCAACGAGACCAGTTTCGGCTCCACGATTCGTAGAGACACTCAAGAACTGAACACGACTGCTCTCTACGATCTAACCGACGAGACCACGAGGCCCACTTGAAAACGTTA